AGCGCGAGGACCCGGCCCTGTGAGTATGTCGATTTTGACCACTGGCAGGCCCGCCTCTATGACTCAGAGAAGCCTGATGTGTCTCAGATACTTTGATCTCAAAATTAATCAGAAATTGGAAGCAACCAGAGACAGAAAGGGGCGATCCAGTAAGCAGATTGTGGGAGGGCTGTACAGTTGGAAAGGAGCTTCTGGTATTGTGGTGAGTGAGGACAAAGGTTTCCGAGAACTGTGGGATCCCATTGACACGAAGTCCCAAATCAGACAAAAGTCACTCTGCGGTGACAAGAGGTCAGAAAACCGGTTATTCTGGGGAGGGAGGGCGCTTGCGGGACCTGATCCTTACCTTTACCTTCTCAGGACGGTTCATCAGTGTGTGCAAACGTGAAAACACGCCTCGAGTTTGGGCTCTTGGCTGTGTGTGAAGGATCGCTCCGTAGAAAAGGAAGCATACTGTGTGCAAATGGTGTGATTTCATCTGTGAAGGTCATGGACAGGAACCCTAGGCTGTGGTGTAGAAGAAGAGGTTCCCTCTGGGACGTGGGCGACCGGGAAGAGGGTGAGGGGTCCCTGGGGGGTGGTCATGGGAGAGCTCTTGGCTGGGGCCGTGGTCACACAGGTGCATCTCTTCGAGATATCCACCCGTTTGCTGAGGATCTGTCATTTTGCTTGAACGCTATACTTCAATAAAAGATTACTTAAAAATATGATGTACAGTATGGTCCTGTTTTCTCCATTGAAAACATATGTGCAGGGGCCCCTGGGTACCTTAGTTGGTTAAGCTTCAGACTCTTGGTTTTGGCTCAGGTCATGATCTCAGGGTTGTGGGATTGAGCCCTGTGTTGAGCTCCTGATGGTGAATGTTCAAAAAGAATAATTAAAAGCACTTAAGGGGCATCTGGGCGCCTCAGTCGGTTGGGTGTTTGCCTTGGGCTCGGGTCATGATCTAAGGGTCCTGGGAATGAACCCCAGGTCAGGCTCCCTGCTTAGTGGGGAGTCTGCTTTTCCCTCTGCCCCTCCCCCTGTCCATGCTCTCTCTCTCTCTCACTCTCTTTCTCTCAAATAAATAAATAAATCTTAAAAACAAAAATAAAAACCACTTAAGCCTTGAGTGGACCACCACCTGTTGTCACTCCCCTTGGAAACTCCCATGCTCTTTCCAGGCCTGTAGAACAATCTTCTTCTTATCCAGAAAAACAGATTTTTCTGCTTAAAATTTTGATCCAACTTTATTTTTTTCAGAAGATTTTATTTATTTATTTGACAGAGAGAGTGAGAGAGAGAACACAAGCAGGCGGAGTGGGAGAGGGAGAAGCAGGCTCCCCCCTGAGCAGGGAGCCCGATGCAGGGCTCAATCCCCAGACCCTGGGACCATGACCGGAGCCAGAGGCAGACGCCCAACGACTGAACCACCCAGGCGCCCCTTGATCCAACTTTAAAGTTCAAATGTTGGAATAAAAGGATGCTTCACAATGGATTTTTTTTAAATAGGTGAAACAAACAAGTTTATTACAATCCCTAGATGTTCCTTCTCCCGCGTGTCCGAGATGGGGCAGCGCTGCCCCTCCTCACAGGACCTCGGAGTGCACAGCGACCACGGGTTTCTTCCGCCTCAACCCCCTGCCTTCCCTGCCACACACCTGCTCTTGGGTACCTCCTGGGTCACAGGCTGAACGCATCCAAAACGCACCTGCAGCAACAGACAGGATAAAGAAGTAGTTAGGAGCAGATACCAGCCAGGGGGAGTCTGTCTCTCTGCTCACCTGCCTGAAATCCCGCCAGGCTGAGGGTATCACTGTCTTGGGGACAAACCACAGTTCCGAAGTGAAGATCCTGAAGGCCTCCGTGCTTCCCGTGAGTGCGACGCAGTTCAGCACGAGACAGTGGTTCTTACCGTCCCCACCTTATGCCTTAGCTGCTCCTGACTGCGCTGTGAACACAACCTCTTATCCTAACGCACAGGCCCGGAATACTCCCCAGGGTGGGAAGAAGGTGCCAATGTCTGTGTTCCATCCCTGCCTTAAGTGGAACCTTTTTTTTTGAGATTTTCTTTATGTGTTTGACAGCGCACAAGCAGGGGGAGTGGCAGGCAGTGGGAGAGGGAGAAGCAGGCTCCCCACTGAGCAGGGAGCCCGATGCGGTGCTCGATCCCAGGACCCTGGGACCATGATCTGAGCCGAAGGCAGACGCCCAGTGGACTGACCCGCCCAGGCGTCCCATGTGGGACCTTCTTTACAAAACCGTGTGGCCCACCTGGATGTCTGTGATAAATGACATTATCGTAGAAGTCCTGGGAGCCGCTCCCCTCCACCCCACCTCCGGATTCAGGAGTCAGGCACAAATTCAAACCATTAAGTAAGTCCCAGTGGGCTCGCATTTTCTGGAGCCCCACAGCCATAAACCGCGGCAACCAAGCTCTTCCCAGTTCCTAACTTCAGAGCTGTTTTCTTGTTTTGTCTGTAAGTGTTCACTCCAGAAAACTATCCCCTTCCGGCTCTTTCCTGGGTCTGATGTCCACCAGCTACCAATAAACTGCTAAATGCAATTGTGGGTTTTTCACATGGGGAATGTTGGGCAGAGCATTTCTGTGGTTGTATTATCTGCCTAAAGCCCCAAGCCCTCTGGGTTCACCTTTGGCAGCTAAGTTTGGGCAGGGGAGGTTTCTTCCAGGACCCCACCTGTTTCAGACCCTTTTGGGAACCAGACCCTCGTTCTCTGCTCTGTGTACGGTGTATGGGTGGGAACGGTTCTTGGGGTCTTCACTCGGGGGCTACGGCCCTTCTGGGATGCTGCCCACCTCCCCAAAAGAGGGACGTTGTGAGTTCTGACTACCCTCTGAGTTGTTGCCACCAAAGCAGCGTGTTCTCTTGCTTTTCAAAACCCAGAAAACAAGTCACTGTTTCCTAAATGAAAAGGAGCAAAATTAGCACTGGGAGAGGTCGTGGGAGATGTTTTCCAAGTATCTGAGAGTGCTTGGCAGAATAAAGCAGGAGCACTTATATGTAAAATCCTCTCCATCAGGGCCTGTTTTGAAGTCAGTTCATTGTGCTGGAAAGGAAACGGAAAGAAAGAAATGAAAGAGTTTGACTCTTAAGTCTTTATAAACCCTACAAAAATTCACAGAGCTGTAAAGATGCAAAAGAGCCCATTTGGGGGGGGGCGTGCTGCTGGAGGGGATTGGTGGGCTTGAGGGATTGCCCCCCAAGGCAGAATCTCCTGAGAACTTGAGTAATAGTATGAGCAAAACCCAACCCAGAATCTGGAGGAAGGGGGAATGAATTCTGACCTTTGTGTCTGGGTGTTTCGTGGGGGAACTGAGCCATGCGGGACGGGGCGGGATTTCGTAGAGCAGATCCGAGGACAAAAGCCCTACCAGGCGGGAGAGGTTCAAATTTCCAGAGGGGGCAACAGGGAGGGAGGCACAGGGCGGTGCGTCCTCAAGCAGCAAGCAGCATGATGGCCTCGGCACTTGGGGCAGAGGTAAACCGAAATCTGGTATTTTTATCGCTGTTTCTGTATTGTGCTTTACAAGTCTGAGATCTAACATGAACATAAATTTGCTACAAGGTTAGGGGTTTTTTTGTTTGAAATTCAGAGAGACATTTTTATCAGCGACTGCATGTTCGAACAACCGTGGAATGTCACAGACTTTTCCAAGACCTCCCCTCTTGTTCCTCTGAGGAGATACCAGGCAGGATACTCAGTCTTCGACTGAGGAATTCACCCCTCTTCATGGACAGTGTGGGTGTGAGTGGGGGTGAGGCTGCGGGTAGGGGGAGTTTTGGGACCGTGATTTCAGGCTGACACCCCATCTTTACAAAATTAAATGTTCAGCATCCTTTTCATGCCATAATTGGCGACCTCTGGGTCTGTTGAGCACCACCTACCCTCTGTTTCCAGCTTCTCTCTCTTCTTTGCAGTAAATGCTAGTGAACTAATCTGTGCGCAAAGACACTTTTTGGGGGCATGCAGAAACCAGCAACATCTCTGCAAAAGATTGGAATTTTTAAAAGCCCTAATAAGCTCTTCTCATCAGCTGAATGAATGTTTTGACAGCCTAGTGGTGATCGATGTGTTCTACAGCTTTTAGACAGAGCTGCTGAATTATAGAGTAACTTCACAGATCAAACCCTAGATGAGAATGTTCTCCATAGAGCTGGCCTGTCCCCAGTGACTGCTCAGGAAAACCCATCCCCTGGGTTTGGCCCAGGCCATCTCCTGTGGGAAGAAACATTGTAGGGCTGAGGGGTTAGACAGGCCTTCATTACCATGGAGCTGGAGGCAAAGGGTTAAGTTTGGGGGTGTCAGATCTTTGAGACTCCCTGAAGACCCCTGCCCAGCCCCTCCCTCTTATTCCTATCTCCCTAGGTGAGAATCTACATAGAATGGTGGAATCGGCCTTGATAGGACCAGAAGGCCAGTCACTGCACCAGCCTGGCACTGACATTCTCTGGAACCTACGACCAGAAGGCCTGAGGCTTGGAGGCCAAAGAGCAAGACCAGCATTTCATCTTGGTCAGCTGCAGGGTCAACTGGATGGCAGGGATAATGCGATGTTTCCAATCTGGGCATACAGAGAAGGCCAACAGGGCACCTGGCTTAGGTAGGGCTCCCCAGTGCCTTGGGAGCTGGGGTGTGTGGCTGCTTAGAGCCATAATGGGTGGACACATCAGACAGCTCTTTGGAAGGGTTTGGAAAAGCTGCTCCTTTCTTCAACCTAATGCCTCTGACCCAGGCAGGCTCTCAAGGGGGGTCTGTCCCTACAGAGAGGTCTTGTCTCCCTCTTTGTCAACGACAATTACAAATCAATGATTTTAAAATTTACTGTCCAACCAGGTCACTTCTGAGAGTGACAAGGGGGCATTATGAATAACTACCTTGAGTCAACAGGCATACACGGACATTGTCTCCAACAGGGTCGTCCATCACCCTAATTAGACGGGAAGAAGAAGGGAAGGAATGTGAATGAGGCCCATTCGTCTCCACCCATGTCAGGCTGTCCTTTGAGCCCCACACATTCCAAGTGACAATGGACACTTTTCTGTTACGGAAGACAATCCCAGGCGCCACTAGGTCCAAAGGTAACAAAAGACGGTATTTCCAGCTGCTGTTCCAGAAATGGCATTTAACCTAAGGAGAGCTCTGGCCGCAGCCAGAGCAGGTCATCTTTCCTAAGTCAGGGTTATAACTGTGCAGCCTCGGGAACCTGACTGTTCTAACGTGTGTGCAGGCACGCGTCAGGGCGGCGTGTCTAGATGCTGCGGTCCCTGCTTCCTGCCATCATCATTGCCTCTGTCACAGCACGCAGGGAACACAGGCTTTGACGGGCAAGGTAATCCCAGGGGGTTTAGAACAGGAAAGAAATAACTAGTACCTTCCAGTAACCATCCCATCCCCTTCAATAAGAGGAAGGCAGCACTGGTGGTGCCGTCTTCCCACGCAGAGTCCCAAGAGCTAGATGAACATGCAGGAAAATGAGCCTCTGCTTGCAGCGTTGGGGGAAGGAAAAGAGAGTCTAGAAGATCACTTGGCCACCTCTCCTTGGGGGTTATGAGTGAATTGCAGGCTTCTGTCCTACCCTGGAATAAACAGCTTCCTTTTTTTTGTTGTTGTTTTTTTAAGATTATTTGTTTATCGAGAGAGAGAGAGAGAGAGAGAGAGTGTGTGTGTGTGTGTGTGTGTGCGTGCGTGTGCAAGAGTCGGGGAGGGGCAGAGGGAGAGAGAATCTTAAGCAGACTCTATGCCAAGTGCGGAGCCCGATCTCACAACCCCAAGATCATGACCTGAGCTGAAATCAAGAGTCAGATGCTCAACCGACTGAGCAACTTAGGCGCCCCAAACAGCTGCTTCTTTCAGGAGGTGAAACGATGAGGCTCGTGTCAGTGCATTAGCGGGAGGAAAAGCTCGCAACAGAGCCCGTACCCTGTGGGAGAGCAGACTGGGCTGTTGTCAGGGATGCCAGCTCCCTGGCAGGACAGGAAGCAGCCCTTCTTTTATCCACCTGCAGAATGAAGGAGTATTTGATGAAATCATTCATGCTGAGTGCAAAATATCATCTACAAGTGCAGATAATTAACGACATCATCTGTAAGAAGAGGGCCAGTCTGGCTTGTCCTGAGGGGCCCTTCCACGGTAGTGGTTCATCCTTCTGCTATGTGTGTGATCCCTGGATGACATCAGCCAACTGCGCTCACACCTGCTGGGCCCCCTTGCTCCGGTGCAAAGGCAGGATTATTAGACAAATTCGAGGCTGCACAGACACGTTCTGATCCCATGCCAGAGAAGAGGCCACAGCTTAGAAAAAACAGGAACAGTTTCAGGAACGTGACTGTGGGGACTTTTCCCAGGCCTCACTGACCCTCGGGCTACATTTGCCCCTTACTGACAATATTTTCTTTTATTGCACCAAAAACAATTTCAGCTCATTTGTTACCCTGCCTGAGAGTTCATCAACTGGAGATTAGAATGGACAAGCACAGGGAGGGGGAAGTCTCCCTGGACTCCCTTAGGGTCCCTGGCTAGGTCTGAAAATGAAACTGACAAAGACAGTCACAGGAGAAAAACATACACGATTATTTAATAGACGTTTTCTGGGACATGGGAGCTGTCATAAGGAACTGAAGAGTTGAAGAAACAGTTAGATCTGAGTTGTTGTTTTTTTAAGATTTGATTTTTAAATAATCTCCATCCCCAACGTGGGGCTTGAACTCACGACCCTGAGATCAAGAGTTGCACGCTCCACCAATCGAGCCAGCCGGGCGCCGCAAACCTGAACATTTTTGTATGGGGTTTGATGCTGAGTGGACGGTCGTGGAGGAATGTGATAGGTCGAAGAACCTGAGGTAAGAGGTGGTAAACTGGGGTAAGCTCAGCAAGGTCTGTTGGTTGGGATTCCTCCTGGCATCCCCCTGTCACTGGAGGTAAGGATGATCCTTTGCCCGGGGTGTAGGGAGGGCACCTCTCATGGCAAAATTTTATGACCTGTATCAGGGGAGAAGCCAGGGAAGGTGGGAGTGGACTTTCTGCTTCTGCTGTTTTCTCAAATCCCTTCGGTGTGCACTATTTAATGTGCCAAGGTGCCATATTTGGGGGTAGCATGTCCTGAACCCCATCCCGAGCATGTTCTTAAAAGTGTGAAAGGTGAAGGACCCATCAAAACCTGTGCCCCTAGGAATGGCCTGATCGATCTCCTTGTTTTGCCTCTCGCATCCAAGCTCAGCTAGGGTCGAACTGGATCACGTCCCGATACCATCTCCAATGGACCAGGACACAGGTGCGAGACTTCCAAGCGTGTATCCTTGATCTACTCCCCGCCATACTCTGAGGCTGCCCCAAGGGTTTTGAACCTTCTCTCCACACTCTGTACTCAGATTTCCAGATCGTAGGTATCCCCTTTCCAAGGTAGACACGTAAACCCCGCTGGGGCTCAGAGGTGTGATTTAGATTCAACTAATTGCGTGCTCCGGCAGGAGACTTTGATTCGGAACCGGCTTGTGTGGAGGCAGGGGACAGGTCATCGTTTTGTTGGCATGGATTGTTGGCAGAGCCAGCCGGGTTCTGGAGGCGGGAGCCAAGGCAGCAACATCCTGACTTGGCAGTGTCCTAATCCCGGGGAGGTGCAGCCGGGAGCTGGTTCTTCGGTGTGACTCGGGGCATCAGTTGTTCCTGGAAGCCTGCCCAGTGCCTGCATCTCCGGCCGTCTCAACAGTTCTGTGAGCCTTCTGCCCCTTCAGAAATCCCTTAGGCTTGAATCAGCCATAGCAGATCCTGTTGTCTGCAACTAAGAACCCCCGGCTGATGCAGAGGGAGCAAGACAGCAGAGGGCAGGGAAAAGGATGTTCAGCATATGGTAGAAGAGTCAAGAAAGAGATATAGGAAATTGACAAGTATTTTGAATAATGGTCATACCCTGCACATTATCTCCAGCCTTTACAACAACTCTGTTAGGCATTATTATTCCTGTTTTACAGATGAGCACATAGTCTCAGAATGGTTAAGGGACCTGCCCAAGGCCACACAGCCTTCAACTGTGACTCAGGAATTTGAACCTAGATCCTTTTGCTCAAAGCCCAGGATCTCTCCACTCTGTTACTCTGCCCAGGACAGCCCTGCGTGCAGAAGGGAGTGGAAGCTCCTGTCCCATTCTGTTTCCTTTTCTTGACTTCCCCTTCTCCCACTCCCATCTGAGGCACACTACAGTTTATGTATGTACTGGCATTCATCAGTCAGGAGCAGAGCATACCTCAGAAAACACCGCAAAGGGTCCACCACTGAGGTGACGGTGGGGCGGGGAGGGTTCCCCAGCAGCTTTTTCCTTTCTGCATAAGACAATTGCACTGTTGGAATTTTTTTACAGGAAGCAAGTGTATTACTTATGTAATGTAGACATCAAAATTAGCACTGCCGAAGAGTGATGGAAAAGCACCAAGACATAAATTGTGGTTATTATGGCATGGTGGATTATAGGTGATTTTTATTTTCTTCTTTATGTGTTTCTGCATTTAACCATATTTCTAAAATGAGGATGTGCTCAGGTTGCTTTTAGCCGCAAGGGACAGAAAAAACCCTTCGTCAAACTGGATTGCCCAATGAGGACGCTGATGGGTTCCCAGGCGTGGATGTCTTGCAGACGTGTGACCAGGGCATGTCACCAAAGACTCCATCTGCTTCTTCCTCCTCTCTTCTCTGTGGCCCCAGCATCCTCCCCAGTGAACGCTGGCTCCCCTCTTGCACACAGTACCCTGGAGCTGTCCCAGGAGAGAGCTGGCACAACAGTGTCCGCACACAGAAATAGGGGATTTCTGTTCAGGTGTCTCCTCTCTCAGAGTGCTGGGACCCTTCCAGAGCCTCCTGGCAGACTCCCCTGCAGGCGTCACTGGTCAGAACTGGGTGACACGCTCGCTCCTAAATCAGTCCCCGGCAGGAGGGAGGCCTTAGCCGCACCTGGTGCACCTGCTGGAGCTGGGGCAGCACCCAGCTTCCCCAGGAGCCCCGGAATATGGACAAGAGCAAATGCCTGAACAAAGGCGGCCTTTAGGAGTGAAGACTTGGGGATGTGGGTGCCATGTGGAGAGTCTCCTAGGGCAGATATTTATTTGAATATTTAAAACATTACATTAATTTTTAAAAATTTAAAATTACCCTCGTGTGGTTGGACCTGCTGTTGAGGGCTTTGGTGGGAACTGTGTTGCTGGGTCTACCCTGGTTATGAAATCTGGCTGCTCCTAATGGAAGATAATCATGGCCTCAGCAGCAACAAAAACCCCGTGCTGTTTCTGCTCCAGGATATTGTCTTATCTCTGGGAACATCGGGAACTGAACAGGACCCACCTGGCAGTCGTGGGGTCCGAAATTCTGTAGGTGCATCTGTCACTTGGGTCACGTGAGCCAGACCACTGATGGGGGCTGCCAGGCTCGGCTAAGAAGGTTCCTGACTCAGGGTGTCAAGGCTCAACATTAAGTTTTGTCCTTGGCCATGAAGACTGCTAAGCTTTCACAAAACATTATTTGATGCAGCCTTCTTCAATGTTAAAGGCTTGGTCAAGATGAATGAAGGGGTCTTAGAAGTGCTCCAGGTCCCAGTGTTGCAAATCTGAGGGTGAGGGTCGAGGTAGCAGAAGCCACTTGGAGGCCCCTCGGGTTTTCCTGAGTCCATAAACTTCCTCAGGGTTGTTTTTTTGTTTTTGTTTTTGTTTTCAACTGAGTCTGAACCAACTGCCGGGAAATCATTGTTTCCTTTCAACTTGCACAGTTGCTCAACTGTTTAAAGCGAGAATTGCAGAAGTTAAGCCAGTGGGTTCAACGACTTCCATCAGACAAGAAGCTTTACTCCGCATTGAGATTCGAAATGTCCTCCAAGTCTTTGCTTCTAGGACATAAGAATAAGTGGACTTATTTTTTTATTTTTCTATAAGTTAAAAAAAAACATTTTTAAAAGTAATCTCTACACCCAGTATGGGCCTCGAACTCACAACCCTGAGATCAAGAGTCGCATGCTCTCCTGACTGAGCCAGCCGGGCGCCCCGCTTTTCCTTTTCTTTAAATTCACTTATTCTTGGGGTGCCCGATTGACTTTATTTGGAGAGCATGCGACTTCTGATCTCGGGGTTGTGAGTTTGAGCCCCACGCTGGGTAGAGATTACTAAAAAAAAAGGGGGGGATGAAAGGAAAAGAAAGAAACTTCCCTATTATTTTCGCCAAGTTATGGGTACCTTTAACTTCACTCAGCGTTCTAAAACTCAGCATAATCCCTTGCTTGCAAAGCTGTGGAGCTTTTCTTGCCTCCATCATGTCATGTGCTAGGCACCCAAGGAGCCCCACGATTACAAATCTCAGAACAATAGACGGTTGGGAGAATAAATGGAACATTAAAAAGTCATACAGGATCTTGCCACTTGTTATTTAAAGAATTTATAAGTCAAGACAGTTTGAACTGCTACTCAGGGCCCATATGGAAAGTCTTGAAGGCCAGAGATGTTCTTGGTTCGCTTGCTTGGCAGAATGTCCGAGGACGTCCGGGCACCCACATCCATCAGGTGTTTGTGCACCTGGCATCCCCACGCCTTATGTGCTTATGGCTGATGGGCTTTTCACCATGACACC